GTTAGCTCCTCATTTCGCCCTTTTAAGTGTTTAAGGCCTGTAGTTTTAGAATAAACACTGTCTATATATATATATATATATATATATATATGCCTATTTCCTACTTACGTATAAAATATCGCGGACGCAAATCGGTCTTGCTGCTCGACGTCATCGATTTTCGACCTTATTAATGTCACAGTTGTCACATTATAAGCAATAATTGAAGTGGCCGAGGCAATTTACGACGCGACCGTCGTCGGCAGCAACTGGACGTTGTTTCTAGGAATTTAAACACTATGTCTACTTCTGTTTCAAATAGGTCTAGCAACTGGAATGTACTCTATACGGTAGAGGCGATTTCCTCCTCGAAAAACACTGCTACATCTTTTATGCCGTACTGTAACTGTCCCCACGTGAAATAATCTGTCTTTCTTCACGATAATAACGTTACACGAACAGTTGTGATAAATCAGGTGTGATCCGTAAACTACTTTCATTTAATATGAACCCATGATTTTTACCCATAAATAATTGTCTGGAAAAAAGAAAACAATCGTCGAGCACAGCACTGCGATCTCGTAGTATACAAATTGACGGCCCAAATTAAAATGTCCCCTTTTACTACAGCTACAAATCTGATAATTGTACAAATATTATTATAGTGCAGAGATTAGTATTATAAAAAATTAAATTTCTAATGTACAAAAAATTTAAAACATGTAATTTAAGTCGAGGCTCATTACAATATTGATTGACGCGTATTGACAAGTTATTTCTTTCGGGCTTACGCTTATTAACCCGAGGCACCGTTAGGTACTTTCATTTCTGAGTTACACTGGAACCAAAGTGAATCGCACATTATCTGCTAATTAATTAGAGTTTATTACACCATTTGGAATGTTTTTCTGACTTCTTATCAATCCTATAAATTGTGCCGTATAAAAGGAATTACACCCTTTAGACGGCTTATCGTCGTAGGTTAACGAGTGACACTCGTCGAGTTCGTGGCTTAGCGATTAGCTGGCTCCGCTGTGCCGGGTCCAAAGTTCGATTCCCAACCGGCCCTTTAACTGAAATATTTTTACGCGCTTATTATCATTTAGTAGCCGGACTCCTGCCGGCGATAAATCACATAATATTTTAACATACGTATGTCATGAATCATTCTCTCATAGCCAGAAGTACAGCTTAGTCTCCTAGGCCCGACTACAGAGTCTGTAGTCGGGCCTAGGAGACTAAGCTGTACTTCTGGCTATGTCCTATGAAGCTTAACATAGTGTACCTAAGATTGAGAACGAAAACATTCAAAAAATAACTCTCTGTTCCTTTGTTACTAATAATAATAATAATAAAATATCTTTATTCACATAGACGCTTGCGCGTTCTTATGAAACGTCAAAATTTTACAAGAAATTAACACGTTCGTAAGTTACCACCGGTTCGGAAAGCAGTTTCTGTTGAGAAGAAACCGGCAAGAAACTCAACAGTTGCTCTTTTTTAAAAAAAGTCAGTTTACAATATAAATAGTACATGTACAATAGTCTTGTTTTAGCCTACGTGAGTATCAACAGTATTAACCCCACACATTGGCGTCGTCAAGATATACAGAAACGAAACCTGTCTCGATTTAAACGGTTGGTTTCAGTAGTCAGTTCAGTGGTTTACGTTAGGAGGTTAGGAGAGGTTACTCGAGTATTCTAGATCAACAATAGTGTCCGGACTAGGCCTTTCTGAGCACTGCGACATTTTTATTAGATAGTCCGGTACTCACACATACATGTTATCACGCTCGATTTTACTTTGTATTTATTTTGTTGGTTCACATTTGTGGTCTGTTTTCTTCTGTTTTAGTTTTCATGAACTAAAAACAAGCTATGAGGACGAAGAATAATGTTGTAAATGCTGTGACTACTTGTCATTGAGATTATGTATAAAGCGTTGACATAAAATTTGTGTTTACTTGATTTGGTGTGCATTTAATTTTGTTGGTATTTTGGTTTATTCCAAAACTATTAGATAAATTTAGTAGTGACGTTGAGTATGTGTTGTTATATATTCACAAACGTTTGCAATTTACTTAAAGATTGTGTCTGAGGACATGTTCGTACAATAACATTATACACGATATGATGTTTCGCATCTAAACTACATCGCGTCTATCGGAACAATATCCGAGTGGCAGAGTATTATCTGCTCGGCCAGTTTTTAATGTGCAAAGGTCGCAAAGGTGCAGGCCGTTACCTGGTGTTAAGTGATAACCTCCTCCCATTGACACTTGCAACAACTGTGGGGTTGCAGATGCGTTGCCACATTTTAATAAAGTGGGCCACGTCTACCAACCACTCACCAGACGAAACTCAGAAGTATACACTTTGCGCCCTGCCCATTCGTGCAACGGCGAAGAGTGTTTTGCGTGATACTACCACAGGTAAAATTTGTACAATACATAGTAACAGCCTATACATGTCCCACTGCTGGGCAAAGGCCTCCTCTATACAGAGGGTATCAGGGCATAGTCCACCACGCGGTCCCACTGCGGATTGGCGGACTTCACCTATCTTCGAAATATATATTTTTTGTCATTATTTCGAAAATATGCAAGTTTCCTCATGATGTTTTCCTTCACCGCGCAGCGTAAAAAGCCAGCACTTAAAGTTAAAAACTTCATTGGTGCCGGCACCGGGGATCGAGCTCAGGTTTAATTAAAGGCGAGCGCCCGGACACTGAGCTATCACGGCTCTACACTACATGCTTACATTTAATGCGGTGGTTAAGGCACGCAATAGTTTTTGCTGTTTTGTTGCCCGAGTAAATCAAAATCAAATGTCTTTATTCAACATAGGAGTATAACACTCGCTTATTGTTAGTCAAAATACTACCATCGGTTCGGAAAATAATAAGTAGTCCTGAATAGTCCGGAAAATAACATAGTCTCTCAGAAGACGAGTATAAGTAATCTTGCATTTCGACTCGCCAATATGGTACCGCGATCGTTCTTTCCGTTGCTTAACCGTATGTCATGTAGTCATTTTGATAGTCCTTTTCAAATATCTGTTAAGGATAGTTGTGTAGTAAAAAATTTTGTTAGTTTTTGATTTTCGTAAATGTAATTTATAGTGTTTTCATTATTATCACATATATTAATCAATATTTAATTATTTGTTTTACATTTTCCAAGTAGGCTCTAGGAAATATTTGCAAATCTAGGCGTGAATTTATGTTTTAAACTAGCTGTTCCCGCGACTTCGTCCGCGTGGAATTTAAAATAAAAAAAAATCGAAAATAAGTGTAGCCTAAGTTACTCCTTATTACATCAGCTATCTATCAGTGAAAGTCCCGTCCAAGTCGGTCCAGCCGTTTCATAGATTAGCCGGAACAAACACACAAACAGACAGACAAAAATTGTAAAAAATGTTATTTTGGTATATGTACCGTGTAATAGATCCATATGCATTTAGTAAAAAGCGGTTTTTTTTATTTATCTGTATAGATGTATAGATTATCGATGGCTTCAATGTTGTGAAGTTTATTTAATGAAAACAACGTGGAAGTAATGTTTTAGCAAACGAGGTAACTGTAAAATTTATGTACATGTTTTACAAGTCAAAATATCACAATTAGCATATTGATGACGAAATGAACTGTGATTTAACGTTTCTTTAACGCTTCTAATGCAATATTTACGTTTTTTAGGTGCTGATGTTAAGGGATAACCGCCGCCCATTGACATTTGCAACACTCATCTATACTCTATGCATACAGATAAATAAAATTGCAGTGTCTGTTTGTAATATTAAAATAACCGCTTTTTACTAAATGCATATGGATGTGTACACGGTACATATATCAAAATAACATTTTTTACAATTTTTGTCTGTCTGTCTATCTGTCTGTTTGTTCCGGCTAATCTCTGAAACGGCTGGTCCGATTTGGACGGGACTTTCACTGATAGATAGCTGATGTAATAAGGACTAACTTAGGCTACTTTTATTTTAGATTTTTTTTTATTTAAAATTCCACGCGGACAAAGTCGCGGGCACAGCTAGTAGTATATACAGCGTGTTACAACCGCGACAATAAATGAACACACATATAGAGGATAACTTTTTAAAATTGTATTAAGCATTTACATTCTTTAAACATCAATATTTAGCGATACCTGATAAGTTTGTCGCTCTGAGAATCTAAGTCACCGTTAAAATAATGTCTATGATCCGATTAAAACGATAAAATCTTTAGGTCTTTACCAAATTTAAGTCGTAGGCAAATAATTATGCTGCTTTTGTACTCAGATTTTTTGTACATCAATATTTACGCCTATAATATGGTTAAATGGTGAAACAATAAATTTATTGGCGTCTTCCCTTCAATCGCAGTGGCCTCGTATATTGTTATTAGGGTTCGATGAATATTCTACTTTTAGCCTTAAGGTAAAGTTTTGGACAAATAAGGAAACTAAAGCAACTTTCCACGGGTTTATGACCAGCCTGCAAATTGGCAAGCATGTATGCATGCGTACTTAGGGGTTGTTTTATAAAGTCCTTCGAAGCCGGGTAGGTACGCAGCAGTTTTGGGTTAATCCTCCACCAAAGGCTACCTTGGAACGCATACAGATGTTTTGAGACATTTTTTTTTTCTATGTGAGAAAGTGGCAAGATACCTGGCGGTTCACCTGATGTTAAAGGATAACTGCCGCCCATGAACATTTGCAACACCCGAAGGGTTGCAAATGCGTTGCCACCATTAAATAAAGTGGGCCCCGGCTGCCGCACTCACCACGAAACGCAGAAGTGTAACACATCTACTTTACGCCGGTCTTCTGTGAGGTCGTGGTACTTACCCGGACGGACCTGCCCATTCGTGCAACAGTGAACACTGTTGCGTGGCCCTACCACAATAATGGTAAAGTAATGGCAGTGGCGCAGTGCTCAGCTATGAACTTGGCGTCCGGGGTCCTCGCTTCGATTCCCACACAGCACTAGTATTTTTGTAACTCACGGATAATTGTCGATGATCCTATGCCGGCTGCTCCTAAAAACGTAGCCTATTCCAATAGGTACATGATTGACATGTCGACACGCACCGACCTGGATTAAGTGCTGGAAGTTGATGACCATTCATGGAAATGTCATCAGTTGGACGGCAAGCAACGTGTTTGTGATAATAAACGAATAGTTAATTTTCTTGACTGATATGAGTAACATTCCGTCCGGGTAAGTACTGCGACCACAAAGAAGACTGGCGTGAAGCGGAAGTGTTGTACCTCTGCGTTTCGCCTGGTGAGAGAGGTAGCCGGGGCCCACTTAATTGAAGGTGGCAACGCATCTGCACCTGTCTACAAAATTTTCAGAATAGCACCCCGAGACTGCGCACCGCGCGTGAACACCCTTCGACCTCAGCCGGAACAAAGGCCGATGCGCGCCGCTCTTCGTGGCGGGCCCAATTGATTGCTTATCAGCCGCGCCGGCGATGCATCGGCCAGTCAGTGCCGCGACGGCATCGGAAAGGGACACGCGCCGCGTCGTCGAAGCCCGCACGTCTCTCACGTTTCAGCCGAAATAACCCACCGCGAGTGTACCGTCGCCTATCGCCTACTGTTTTGTTTATTTCATACTCCTTTCAAGTCGGTGCGGTGTACGTTTCGACGCCCGGCGGACGGAGGTACAGTCGTCCTGCTGCGATTGGGGCGTCCGCGAAGTTTATCTAGCAAGGTGAGGTGTCCAACTTTCCGTTCCATCGTCGAAACGCACAGGTGCGTATGGCATCGCCGTCGAAATTCAAGTCGAATGAGTGCTCGCTGCGTTCGGAAACGCGATATAGTGGCCTGACGCAAGGTTGGGAGTGCTCCGCGCTCGACGGTCTATCGGTTATTGATAAGCCAAAACAAACTACTGATACTACGTATTTATTCTAAGGAATCACGTTTCGTGCTGTGCGTGGTTGTCGCAGCGGTTTGAAAGAGTCACTAGCGACCGTTGACACTTGACTCTACGCGTACAATATGATTCCTTCCGACTTGAAATTTTCCTCCGGGCCTATCGCGTGTTCTGGACAAGTCGCACGGTATCCTGAACCCAAGCAATTGACAACATGCCGGTTAACATCGGGATGGTTACGTAGCAAAGGTGGAAGTTGATTCGTAAAATTATTTCATTGATAATGTATATATCTTATTCCTCTCTTATTTTTTATAATGCTATTTATAAAATAAGTATTCTAACAAAGTTGACCGTTGAAAAATTTGTTGACCTTAAATCAAGCTCAGGTCAATGAATTCACTGTTATTGTCATTGTTATCTGTAACATAATACTTTTAATACATAATACTTTACTAGTTTAATATTACTTACAATATTTACGCGTGATTTGAAGTGGAATGCAGAACGTATCGTTCAAGGCATTATTTGGACAAATTTGAACAATGTCATGTTTTAAATACAAAGAAACATTAATTGAATTACTCATTATTGTTTTGGATAATTTTTTTTAATGATAAAAAACTATACAACTAGTGGTACAAAAAGAGCGGCCATCGAGCGTACGGACGCTCGCTATTAAACTAGTATACTTGAGCGATCCGAGTTCAAATCAAGCTAAATTGTTAATTGCAATTTTAAAAGACGATTTACCACTTGGCCGAAGGTGGAGAAAATTTGCATCATATTCATGGCAACTGTGCTGAGACATCTAAATATGGTTATATATATTTTGAAGATAGATAAAGATACATAATATGAAGATATATTCAAGCCGTTACTTTTCAAACGTGTAAATAAAAACAATCCCTGTAAAAATGTACGTTACAATGTTAAGGGAGATATGTTTGATAAATTTAATTAACTAATTTCATTATAGACATCAATATCATTGCGTAGTTGTCGGTCCTATTTCGTGACAGTCGACTGCGTGACAAATTGAATAGAAAATTAAGCTAATACATACAGACGTAAAACATACATATGTATTGTTATATATTTAATATATAAACTCAGAATAAGCAATAAAATCATATTAATTAAGCAATGATTTCAACGGGTTTTTAAAATATACGTGCTTTGTGATTTTTTGTCCTTATCTGCACCAAACATGAAAATAAAATGTGACTTCAACAGATGTGCGTTATCCGGACCTATCCCAAGCTCATCTTGATAAATCGGTATGCCTTCTTAATAACTTAGATTCATTTTCGGTTTATAAATGTAACCATTTATCTTCCTACCCTTGCAAACTTAACTGACTTCGTATTCGACAGGGGCGTTGTTCCAGAATTCTGTGTTACGTAATTCTTATTATTCTTAAGAATACCTTTCAATATCTTCTCCTAACAGAGCCCTAAGTTCCATTAACTAACTTAAGATTATTGACATATGTGACTGTATTTTTGCTGTTTTTTTCAAACTTCCCTCCTCTGAAACCCCTCCTCGATGTAATTAAAACGGACATGTAATTATTAATAATTTAAAATGTATTCTGGAATTTATTCTTCATAAGTATACTTCGTTTTAACACCATTCTGATTTAGACCTCATATCACTTATTAATTTGTTTACAACGCTTAGAATTATCATTACATGTTTTATCAAGTGATAATGTATTTATCGATGAGCCTAATTTATATATGGTTTCATTTGCTTTTTACTTCATCTATTACTATTATGTCTATAAGAAAGCCGTGCCGTGATAGCTCAGTGTCCGGGCGCTCGCCTTTAATTCAATATACTCGAGCAACCTGAGTTCGATCCCCGGTGCCGGCACCAATGAAGTTTTTTAACTTTAAGTGCTGACTTATCACGTGCTCCGCGGTGAAGGAAAACATCGTGAGGAAACCTGCATATTTCCGAAATTATACCAAAAAAAAAATATATATTTCGAAAATATATGAAGTCCGCCAATCCGCAGTGGGGCCGCGTGGTGGACTATGCCCTGATACCCTCTGTATAGAGGAGGCCTTTGCCCAGCAGTGGGACTTGTATTGGCTGTTACTTTACATCTATAAGAAAAGGCGAACAATTTAACTGCAAAGGTCATCGTCTTCAACTAAATACAGACAGTTAAAAGTCAGTGATAGCGTAGTTTTTTGAAGCTCCGAATTACGATGCTAAAAGGTCGAGTTCTATATTGTTGGCGTACGTTGCATGCAGAAAGGCCCAAAAGGTTCAAAATTATTTTTTTATTTCTAAGTCTTAGATTAGATTTATTATCCACATTAAAGTGTTGTTGTTTGCTTGTCGGAAAGAAACTACTATTGTTTTTGGGGTGAGCATTCACAGAACCAAACGTACATTAATCTTAGTCATGCCAAGATGTTCGTGCAGAATTTTAAAACGAGGTTGTATTAGATACTCTAAATTTATGCAAGCTGTTTCTTCTCCAGCCGTTCATCTTCCTTTACTTATCTTTAGACTGTTTGAACTAGTTCCAGGATGGTCACGTCAATGAACCTTTCGGGTCTTGGTCGTCTTCGAGTAATTTCTATCATGCTTAACAGTCTGTGCCACTTGTGGACCGTGGTTTTCTCAGAGCAAGAGAGTAATGAAGAAAGAAATAATGATCAAAAATCATTGGGTAAAACTTTAGGCGCACTGTGAGACTAAATTGCCTGCTATAAGTCTTCCATAAATAAAAAGTAAAGTAAAGTAACATCCTCGATATGTCCCACTGTTGGGACAAGGGTTCCTCTGTACCCATGTATTAGGGCATAGTCCACCCCGCGACTCCACTGCGGATTGGCGGACTTTACCTATTTTCGAAATATTTCTTTTATTATTTCGAAAATGTTCACGTTTTCCTCACGATGTTTTCCTTCACCGCTGAGCACGTGACGAGTCATTGATTAAAATTATCAATTTCATAGGTGCCAGCAACGGGGATCGAACTGGGGTCGTTCGAGTATGTCGGGGGTCGTGGGTTCGATTCCCACACGGGCAACTATTTGTGTGACCCACTGATAGTTGTTTCGCTTCTGGGTGTTTGTCAGCGTGAAATTTATGTTTGTAAAACGTCCTTACAACACAGGATAATGTTATCCTAAAGTAAGGGGCAATGTAAAAAAAAAAAAGAAAAGAAAAAATAAATTAGTAGCGAGCGCCCGGTCAGTGAGCTATCACGTTCGCTGATCCATATTATAAAGTTGAAATAATAATAAAGCCTTGTTTATTCCTTAATAAAAAATATGTACATATATACATAATGTGATGTGTTTTATATAATTAGGAATTTAAAATAGAATAGAATAGTTTAAGTTAAATTTAAAAAAAAATCAATTTAAATTAGCAATAATAAAAACATGAATTAAAATTGATAAAATACAAATAGATTTAAATAATTTGAATTAAAAATAAAAAGCGAAGCACTCTAAACATAAAAGGACAAATGTATATGTGAGAAATACAACTAAAGTTATAGATGCTCTACAACACTGTAAAAAAATAAAATGGAAATGGGCTGGCCACGTTGCACGTATGAACAACGACAGATGGACAAAGGAGATAACCACTTGGAAAGGGCCATCAGGAAAGAGAAAAAGAGGTAGGCCAATGTTGAGTTGGCTCCACGAAATACTGAAAACAATGGAAAATGACTGGAGGGAAATAGCAAAAGACAGAGATAAGTGGAGGAAAATGGAGGAGGCCTTTACTCCGTAGAGAGCTCCTTAATAATAGCGATTTGTTTTGAATGTAATAATGGAATTGATTTATTATATAGTTATGGATAAAATAATGAGTAGGAATTTGTTAGTTGAAAACCTTCCGACCCACCTGGTCGCTCCCCTGAACTCCAAGTTGCACAAGTTTTGTCCAACATTGTGCAATACATTCAAGTCTAGTACCGTATGTCGAATAACCGGAAATCATCAAGCGCTACGTTTACAATTAATATTTTTGAATATATACACGAAATACAAACTGGCACGGGACATGAATATGCATACATATGTCTTATTTATCATAAATATTCGTCCGTTGTTATTGGAGTATCTCGTATATTTTATTTCAAGTAATTGATACCATATAAAAAGGTTAGTTGAACCACCTTTTTATATGGTATAAATTTTATGATTACATTTGTCGTTTTTTTTACTTAGTTGAAATCTGATAGGCTATTACAGGAATGCAATTTAAGCTGCAGCTAAGAAACAAGTTGATTATCTTTAGTATTACTATAGTCAACTATAATACTATAGGACAACATTTGTGTATTTTACGTAAACTGAGTCATGGTGATTCAAGCAAACGAATCGTAGAGTTAAAACAACTTATTTCTTGTATAAGATATATTGTAAATTTGTATAAGATAAGATTGGAAGAAACTTTTATAAATATACTAGCTGCTGCCCGCGACTACGTCTGCGTAGAGGGGTGAAAATTTAGGTTTGTATGTATTTTTGTATGTTGTATCATAAAAAAATAGAAATTAAAAATTTTGTCTAAAAAATAAAAAATAAAATTTAGGGGTGGACTACCCCTAACATTTAGGGGGATGAAAAATAGATGTTGGCCGATTCTCATAGATAAGGATAAGCACAAAAAATTTCATCAAAATCGGTCAAGCCGTTTCGGAGGAGTATGGCAACGAAAACTGTGACACGAGAATTTTATATATTAGATTGTTAGATCCTTACTAGAGTATAATTTAATGGTACTTAGGTGTTCTTAATGTCAAAGGTAATTCGTTCTACCATCAACTTTCGAAAAGAATCTGTAGTTTTATT